CCCCCCCCCCTCTCTCTTTTCTCTCTTTGCACACTAATTTGAAGCAGAATGCAAGTGCTATTCATTGCCAGTGCTGAACGGCAGGTACAATCCCTTCCCATTACAGAATAGACCATACCAGGTTCCCAACTCGGAACCTCGGTTCCAAAGTGGAACCTCTACAAGTGCACCTACCTTCAGCATCTTCAGTTGCAGTACAATACTTGTTCCTGCCCTGGCTGCAAGCTCCTCTTGTAAAGGCGAGGCTTTTCCTCCAGTGCAGAAATCTGTTCTAATTGATGTTGTCATTCTTCCCTCTTTTCAACTGAGAAAAGTTCGCCCCATCTCCCCATATGGTCAAACCATCAAACTGTCAAAGTACCAATCTTGCGGAGAAACTACCCCTCCAAGTCATACACTTATATTGGTCGATACAATTACCCATCACCCATCACCACCCTCGTCAAGAAGAATGACGCGCTGATCTCCTGCGGGGGGGGAAGGGGGGGAGGGCGGGGGGGGTAGCAGCACCGCAACCGAGAAGCAAATATGGGTGTGAGATGCGGAATCGTCGACCTACTCCATCCCTTAATTCCACCGCAGGCTTCAGCTAGTGATAGGGATATTCACAAAATGCAGCCTAGGCGGCAAACTGCCATCTTACCCTGAAGCACTCCACTTGCTCTTCTGTAAGTCAACACTTCTACAATGACAGCACACCGATCGCGTCAGGTAGTGAATGATGCAGGTTTGAACCTGGCTCCAAGTTGGAGATAAGTCTCAACGCAGTTGGTGTGCAAACTGCAGAGCTGAAACAGACCTGGTCCAGGTTGGGGCCACATTCTTGCCAGGTTACAGGTTTAAAACTTTTCTTCAGACATTAGAGGTTCAAACTTCTGAGTTAAGCTACGCGTACCTGCAGCGCTGCTCATTGCATGTACCTTTTTCCTTCCACTCTCAGGTTCTCACTTGGCAGATGAAGCAGACCTGCTAGCACCATTGGCAAACGTAAGTGAAGCTCCTCTTGCACATCTTGTCACTCCGTAACCACTTACATCCTCTTGGGCCGGCAGTCCATTACCACCAACTCCTCGGCAGGATGGATGCTGCACAGGGCACGGTCAGAACTCACCACTGTTGATCAATCGACCCATTCCTCCCGTGTCGTGAGTACCTTCGATCGGTGCTGCAGAGCCCATGACCTTACCAGCAGTGGCGCCCTGAAGATAACGTAAATGTGTTGACAGTGGGAAGTCCGAAAGCCGATCAGCGTTGTTCCTCCTGAAACTTTTCAAACCATCACCCCCCTATGGTGAACAGTTTATATATATGTATATACGTATACTGTTAGAATGGCCTTCCGGAGCTTCCTTCATAAAAAAATCATCTGCGACTTTCTCCACTGCGTCTACCTCTAGGCGCGGTGGTCCCATCCCGTGCTATAAAACAAGAAGAACACGAGGTTACTGTATACATATTGACAGGAGAGTAGACCTTTCCATGCCTGTCCTTTCGGCTTGAAAATTGATTCTGAGACCCACCATCCGTTCCCCAAATGCGTAGCAGAAGTGAACCAATCACCAAAGACAACCAGGATCTTCCTCCCTCAAAGCTGCATACACCACCAAAAGCGGGTCCATAACAAAAGAACCGTTCCCCAGCAATGAAGAGGAAGATAAGCATGGCGCAGCCATGAGAGGACAAAAGAGAGTGCAACTCCTCTTGCAGCTGGAATGCCAGCCACAAGATACCCCTAAAAGTATCTGACAGACATGAAAGACTATACTTTACACATGCCCACCCCCTGCAGTGCTCCTTAATCATGACTTCTATCTTCATTCCTCCCTTCTATAGACATCCTTCCCTTCCCCTCCCACAACTCCTTTCTCTCCTTGCATTCCCCCTCCCAGGGTATCCCTGACGATTGCATGTGCATCAATTAGTAGCCATTTACTATGCATCAGATGGGTCCTTTCACTGCTTCTAGGCAAGACAGTAGAAAAACACATGCAGCGTCAACTTACTCTCGATGGCCATATCTAGCACCATATCTCCATTCTCCAATGTCACATCTCTGTGTGTTGTCAGACTTCACGCATCACCTGTACACTTGCTAGTCGTAGACTCCATCGCAGGGAGAGAGGAAGATACCTGATATCGCTACTGAAGCTTCATATTTTATCCACCGTTTGGTTCCTGCAGTGCATGATGACTGTCCCTACAGCCTCAGAGAAATGCGACATGCTCGCCAACCATCTGCGGAGTCGTGCGTTCTTCAGCACCGCAACCAGCAGTTATGCCTCTGCATTTAACTTCCAAGTTCCTTCACCGTTTGTGTCCAATTTTGACCTCCCATTCTTCACCACATCCTAGTTATACAATCCATACCCCTAGTTGCATTATCGCTGAAGTCGCCCGCTGTCAGTTCCCGCTTTGACTAATTAATCCCCTTTTCACCTACCTACAATGTGCTCCTTTTTACAAATCTCCTTGTTTACATGTACTCACAGTCCCTCATCGACAAGCAGTTTCATCGCGTCACTCAACCGGAACGTGGGTTTCCTATCCTAACTAACACTACGGCGAACCGGCGATCCCGATTGCAGTGTCACTGCTACAGACTCCATTAATCTCTCAGTGCCTGACTGCGAATCGAACTGCCAGCCACAATAAGTCTCCTTACCTAAATGGATTAAAACTTCAGCCTCAACCACTCACATCTCATCCAGTTGGTTGCTAACGCCTGATGCCCTCTATCGTTCCACAGACATGAGCTGTGGCTTCAAAGTTCGAATTTCAAACTCAAATGAAGCTTGAAACCTCCAACCAATGATCCCGGAATCAATGGGCCAGAAGGCAGAAACAAATCAAGCATAAGCAGAGATGCCTGCTCAGGGATTGATCGACTATACATACCTACAGATCCTTTGTCCGACAAGCGAAATTGTTTCGTGCATGCCTTGGCAAGGCAAAGAGAAATGCTCCGCAAGCTGTCGCAACCTCCCTCAGATTTTCTACCCAACCTATCTGGCACCGTCTTCCAAACTGATGACGAAGTTTGCACTCCTCTCTCTCTCTCTCTCTCTCTCTCTCTCTCTCTCTCTCTCTCTCTCTCTCTCTCTCTCTCTTTCTCTCTCTCTCTCACACACACACACACACACNCTCTCTCTCTCTCTCTCTCTCTCTCTCTCTCTCTCTCTCTCTCTCTTTCTCTCTCTCTCTCACACACACACACACACACACACACACACACACACACACACACACACACATCTCCCCTTTTCAGTCTGTGGCAGTGTCCCGTTGTGCAGCATATTGGCAGCTGCAGCAGCAGAGGTACTGCAGGTGAGCAAGGCAAGCATGAAACCCTGGATATACATCATTGCCTGGGAAGGAAAGGGGCTCTGGCTTTCAAGAATCAATAAAAACGAACAATCCAAAACTTAGAGAGAGAACCGTCGGTTGAAATTTAGTGGACTCATTTCTGGTCTGCTGTCTGCTGAAGGTTCCAGGTCAGGATCAAGTTCAATATCTGCTGGGTCCCCCACCCAGAGCCTGCCTTCTCTTCGGGCAAATCTCACCCTCAGTTTCGCGTCTGCATCTACACCAGCAATTACACCACGGCTTGCGTAAGTCTCGATCCCCCAACCCCACCGTGGTGTCACCACAGACCGTTTCACTCGCACATGCTGGCCGATGCGAAACGGTTCTACCTTGATCATCTCTTCGGGTTTGCAAACCCACAGCCGCTCGAGGAAAGCGAAGGCCACCCACAAATCTCCATCATCATCAATGCGATGAATAACCCCAATGCTCTTATGAGTCACTTCTCCCCATTGATGAACTGGTGTGGGCACCGAAGGGCAAACCGAAACCCAATCCCCCACCTGAAGAGAAGGAGGCTCGACCGTCTCTGCTTCTGCAGGGTCAAGCATCCATGCTTTCTGCGTGGATCCCACTGGAGAGTGCAACCGTAAGCGGCCATCTGCATCAATGCCTGTGATTGTCCCAACTGTTCCCCGTCGATGTCCGCCCATCCCGAACCTCAAGTGCTGGACATCCGGTTTCACTCTCACAGTCTGCCCGACTCGGAATGGCACAACTCTCTCCATCTCTTCGGGCAAGCCTATCCATCGCTCTTGTCGTCCACAAAATGCTACAAGCATTGCTGGACCACAGCCCGCTCCTGCGGCAGACGGCAGACCAGCATTCTCCTGGTTCACTTCCCTTGAGGATCCTGCCCCTGAGCAGTCGTTCTCGTACACGACACCCTGAACAACTCCAACGCTTCCAGGCCGCACACCATTCCATCCATGCCTGGGCTCAACCAGATCTTCACGGATACGCACCCAAGTACCCACCTCAAACATCGTCTCTCTTTCAAGATCAGCAGGATCACTTCGCCACGGACTTGCAAGCCCAGGGAAGGCAACCCGGACTTCTCCATCTGCATGCACGCCAACCACAACACCCCGGCTGTTGTGGGACGCCCCCCGCCAACCCCAGCGTGGTTCTGTTACATTCCTCCGAACCCGAACGTGCTGCCCTACCTGCAACGACAAAACCTTCTCTACCTCTGCAGCATGCACCATCCAGCGTCCTGATCTGAAACAGCCCGCCACCTCGAGATACCCAGTGTCCGACACTGAGTGGACCACTGCTACACTTTCACGCGAAGCTCCTTGCCATTCCAAACTTCGTCTTTCTCTTGCTCCAATCTTTGCCCTCACCCAGTCACCAACCTGGAAACATAATAGAAAAGAAGCTTCACAGTTCATCAACCATTTTATATTGACAGACCCCTAGAACCCCAATGAAATGAAAGGTCATGATGAGGGTACAGAAAAATGAAAATGAACCACAGCAAAGACAACAAGCAGACAGCCTGAGCCAGGAAGAAAACACTCCAGACTTGGTCCCCTCCTCTTGGTCCTATCCGCATCCTCACTCAGGCAGAGCATAGCATTGTGCATTTCACCAGTCATTTCCTCTTTACAGAAGTTTTAAGCACTGCATTCAAGCCATAACGGAGTGAATCACACGACAACACCGAAGAAAACAGCTGTGCAGGAATACCCTTGTGGACGTCAAGGTCAACAACGGTATGGAAGTCTACTATAGATCTGGGGACACATTCTCTGCTAGCTCCGGACATCCCCATCGACGGTATGCCCTGAGTGCAGAGAGAGGTTGTAACCCTTTCTGAACCTTCTTGTTTTTTTTGTTAAAATAAAAAATACAGCTGCCTGCTGCTCATATGGGGGACAGCTGTATTACTCTAGAATGGACCATTTCTCCATCTATGCCTGTCATCCTTGCACAGGGGCCATGCGGATCTTGACTGCATCAACTCAAATTCATCAAGAAGCTAGGAACTGGGGGTGCTCAGCTCCAGATATCCCCACCGAAGGTATGCCCTGAGAGCAGTGAGAGGTTGTAACACTTTCTGCCCTGAGAGCGGTGAGAGGTTGTAACCCTTTCTGAACCTTTTTGTTTTGTTTCTCTAACATGGACCATTTCTCAATCCATGCCTGTCATCCTTGCACAGGGGGCATGCTGATCTTCTCTGCATCGCTCAAATTCATCAAGAAGCCAGGGACTGGGGGTGCTTGTAAGGTTGTGATCCATCCAAAACAAAAGAAAAAGACAAACCATGTGTAGATGACAAACAAGACGGAACAGGAGGAAGTAGAAGAGGAGGAATAAGAAGAGGAGGAAGAAGAAGAGGAAGAGGAAGAGAAAGTGGAAGAGGAAGCGGAAGAGAAGGAAGAGGAAGAGGAAGAGGAAGAGGACGAAGATGACGACATTGACGACGAAGAGGAGGAAGAAGAAGAAGCGGAAAGAGGAAGAAGAAGAAGAAGAAGAAGAAGAGGAGGAGGAGGAGGAGGAAGAAGAACAGGAAAAGAAGAAGAAGAAGAAGAAGAAGAAGAAGAAGAAGAAGAAGAAGAAGAAGAAGAAGAAGAAGAAGATGATGACGACAATGACGAAGAAGAGGAGGAAGAGGAAGAAGATGACGACAATGATGAAGAAGTAGAAGAGGAAGAGGATATGGTAAGAGGGGCAAGATTGGTTTCAATAGCAGCATAAAAGACCTGTCTCTTATACACATCTAGATGTGTATAAGAGACAGGAGGAAGAGGAAGAGGAAAGGAAAATGACGAAGATGACGAAGATGATGAAGAAGACGAAGAAGACAAAGAAGACAAAGAAGACGAAGAGACGAAGAAGACGAAGAAGACGACGACGACAACGAAGAAGGACGAAGAAGAGGAGGAAGAGGAAGAAGATGACGACAATGATGAAGAAGTAGAAGAGGAAGAGGAAGAAGAAGATGACGACAATGACGAAGAAGAGGAGGAAGAGGAAGACGAAGACAAAGACGAAGAGGAAGAGGAAGAGGAGGAGGAAGAGGAAGAGGAAGAGGAAGAGGAAAGGGAAATGACGACAATGACGAAGAGGAAGAGGAAGAGGAAAGGAAAATGACGAAGATGACGAAGATGATGAAGAAGACGAAGAAGACAAAGAAGACAAAGAAGACGAAGAGACGAAGAAGACGAAGAAGACGACGACGACAACGAAGAAGNATGACGAAGATGATGAAGAAGACGAAGAAGACAAAGAAGACAAAGAAGACGAAGAGACGAAGAAGACGAAGAAGACGACGACGACAACGAAGAAGAAGAAGAAGAAGAGGAAAAGGAAAAGAAGAAGACGGCGAAGAAGACTACGAAGAAGACAAAGGAGACGAAGACGAAGAAGAAGACGACGACGACGACGACGACGAAGAAGAAGAAGAAGAAGAAGAAGAAGAAGAAGAAGAAGAAGAAGAAGACAAACATGTGTTTGTCTGACAGCAAAGAGGACAACGGCAAATACGAAGACGAAACAAACACAACGACAGCAAAGACGAAGACAGAGACGAAGAAGCCGAGGAAGAAGAAGAAGAGGAGGAGAGGTCCGAAGAAGACAAGTTCAAAACAAAGAACTCCGTTGTCTTCAGACCTCTCCTCCTCCTCCTCCTCCTCCCTTGTCATCCCTCCACCTGACTCCCTCCTCTGATCGTTTCCCCGCAGTCGTCCACTTCGCCCTCTTCCTCCCCCAACTCTCCCCACCCTCGAACTCTCACGAAGTGACGCGATTCACACACAAAGAAAGAGAAAAACTCAGCTGCGTCGATGCCGTTGAGTGCTTTCCAAAAGCTTAAAAAGGGAAGCAGTGGCTGCTTTCCATCAGAAGAAGAAGAGCAGAGACAAAGAAGACGGAGATTGGCGGAGGTAGTTTGGGTAGGAGAGAGAAGGACAAAAGGAAAAGCAAGGAGGAGAAGGAGAACACGGAGGAGGAGGTGGAGGTGGAGTGCTCTTGGGGGGCCATCGTGGTCGACATGATCACGAAGATGCAATGGGGGCCGCTCCAAGTATTTGGACAGATCAACAAATATTTGGACTTCAGTATGACCCTTAGACATGCGTCATTATTCAATGCACTCAAGGTACTCTTTCTAGAGGATGGAGAAAGTTGCAAAAAGGAATGGATGAACATACACTAATGAGTTATGTTACAAACATAGGTGGAAGAAGTTCCTATGAACTCACCTCGAAACCACACAGCTTCTCTGCGTCTCCGGGTGCCACTCGCCAGAACGCCGATCTTCCCGCAACGCGGACATTCAGCGTTCCATCCATGTCAATGCGGGCGATTCTGCCCGATGTGGCTGCCGTCTCACCCTGCCATGTAAGACGCGGCTCCACCACTGATGGAGCGATCCGAACCTCCTGACCCACTTCAAAAGGGACAACCTTCTCCAAATCTGTGGCAGAGCAAGGGAACGGCCTCATACGGAAGCAGAGTCCGACACCTATGTCCCCATCTTCATCTATGCAGTGCACCACACCAATACACGTGCGTTTTACATCCTCCCAGCCATACTTCGGAGATGACACAGTCGCTTTCACTCTCACCCAGTCACCCACCTGGATCACAAAGGAGATCGCAAAACGCATTTGATTTAACCATACAACTCTGTCCAATGATCCTGGCCATTCATTCATGCAAAAATTTGAAAACACAACAACACTCTTCCATGGCAGTGTAGCATAATTACCTTGAACAAAAGCACAAAGATATTGAGAAAGGAGTGAAAGAAAGTAAGCCAGTTCACAAGTCAATACTCACTCTTCCTTTCCATCTCCTCCTCCTCCGACGATCTCCTCCTCCATCATCATCACTTGCATAACAACAATTGATTAAACTGACTGAAAAAGCTGTTTCCCACTTCTCCCTTCCCGCATATGCTTGCAAGAATCACACAAATTTATTTTCCATCTCTTCAGGTCCTGTGCCGGTATCCCTTGAAGGCCGATGAACATTGCAACACTCACCAAAGTGCACCTGAGAGGCCCGGCCAGAGGTGATTGCATTTGAGAGGCAGGGAAGCACGCATAGAATCAGAGAGAGAAGATGGTCTGCAACCTGGAGCGATCTGCAGTTAAGATGCAGGCTTCCCTAAACTGTAAACTAACAGGAAAAATGATCCATGAAACATATATGCATGATGCAGGCCCGCAGTGCAGACGTGCTGCTTTGATTCGAGTAGAAGTCACTAGAAACTCACTCACCTTGAAATCCTCCACTCTCTCCATGTCTGCAGGATCTGCTTGCCAAAAGATCGGACGGCCAGGAATGTCAATCATAAGAAGCCCATCACTGCTGACCTCGCTAATCTTCCCCACGCTGTGGTGTGTTTCCCCGCCCCACGCATACCGAGGCTCTGCCACTGTACGTTTCACACAAACACGTTCTCCAGGCTGTGCATTTCGACCAGAAAAACAGAAAAGAACCATCTCCGTCAGGATGCCTACTCCGTGTTTCCTTCGTACGGCTACAAAGCACGCAATGCAGTAGAGAGTACCATTCCCCCTCAAAACATATCAAGATTCTGCAGCCTCTGTCAATATCTCTCATATACACATGTTCTCCAGTCTGTTAATTCCAACCTGAGGCCCAGTCACAGTGAAGGACGCTCACTGCTCACCCCATCCACAAGTTGACGTCTGTCACTGCCAAAAGCTTCATAGTGCATGCACACAGGCTGGGCAGGCAAAACCACAGCCTTCTCATGGCATTTATGACTATTTGTAGAAAAGAGACCCTCAGGAGTCAGGAGTACTGCGGACTTCTCACCTCTACCACACAAGTCATGCGACTGAATGGCACAAAAACTTAGCCATTAATCACCAACAGATCACAGCCCGGGGGGGGGGGGGGGGGGGGGGGGGGGGGGGGGGGGTAGGTTTAGGTGGACTGTCACCAAAGACTTCTGGCTCAATAGTACAGAAATTTAGCCGGTAGGATGACGAGTTCAAATCCTGCTGGTGATTAGTACTGAATAAAATAGCATTAGGGCAAACAACAAAATTAAAAAATTACAGTTAAAAAAAAATATATGGTAAAGAATTTCGATGTGACCCCGAGGCAAAAGTTGACTTTATTTTTCTGCATCACACAGTTTTTTTATTTTATTTTTTCGGTTTTTTTTGTTTGTTTTGCTGGGCCCTTCCCTGGTCTATGCACGGCCGGGCTGCCCACTCAAACAAGGTACCCGGGCAGCCCGGAGGGTAGCCCAGGAACTGGTCCAAAAAAGAAAAAAAAAAAAAAAATCAAAATTATCAAGAATGATTTCGGGATTTCGGGATACCATCCACACCCTAATGTTTCCCGTAATAATTCTTTTTTGCTATTTACTAGTACTTGCTATTTACTATTTTAATATTTAGTGAATTTTCTTGAGCACTGCAAGCGGGGCGTCACACGGGTGCATTGCTGCCGTGGACTACTAGTAGTGTGACTCGAATCATCATTGATTTGCTGAATTCTGCTTTCCCAGAAGGGACATATAAAAAGGCAGCAACTACTCATAAGCAACACAGATTCTCAGACCTCGGCCTGTGACAATCATTACACATATCCCAGCCTGGCCTTCGCTATCACACAGATTATTCACCCACACTGTATTACACGGCACCACACCATTCTCTGATGCCCAACGCTATATGACACCCTGTAGACCTCCAAGCACTTCCGATTTCTTTAGGGAGTGGGTTGATCGCCGACTGGAAACATTTCCGACAAAACATCTTACATCTTCTCCAAGTCCCTTTCCCAGGACGACCTGAACGCTCAACCCTGATGTGGTTCATGGATCTCAACCTGCGCAGGCAGGCACCCACTACTGAATGACGATCAAACACAGAGTTAATGAAATGAAATAACAGGAGCCCCAAGGCCCCCAACTGGCCATGATTTGCACACACACCATGGGCTGGGTGGTGTCTGCATCCAGCCCATGGTGTGCGCAAATCATAAGCAGTTGCTTCCTGTCATTTTATTTCATTACCTGTTCATGAACAGATCACGAGTTCGAATTTCGGATCCTTGGGGAACCACACGGATACAAGAGAGAGAGAGAGAGAGAGAGAGAGAGAGAGAGAGAGAGAGAGAGAGA